TTTATTTCAAGGGGTTGTTAAATAATATTATGTCAATTTCACCTTCTTTTGAGCCTCTTACCGATAGTCAACAATAAAAACTATGCCTTTCTATTTGGTTCATACAGAAATATTCAAGAGTTGTTTGGCAAATAATTCAATAAAAGTTTTAGCATTTTCTGATTTAAAAAAATAACGATGAAATGTGTAATTTAGAATCGATAAAAACTGTTGATAGAATGAAATGTATAGTTAAAATTGAAGTCTCAACGGTTGAAAATTTGAGTGAAACTTTATCGAACAAGCACACAAACAATTAGGTGCTTAACCACTAAAATAGGATACTCATGTTTGCTTGAAATCCCATTATAGTATTTATACATAATTTAATTCCAAACCACTCGAATTGTCATCATATCAATTTATTATTAATCGATGAAACTCTATCCCTTAGATATATTATCATTTTTTTATTTATTATGATCGTACAACCATCTTTAATATCTTTGTGTCCTCTATATTCATCGTATCGTTTTGTTTGCGTAAGACTTTTTTTAACCTCGTCCGAATTTATAGAGTTGATCGACTCAATTTATTGAAAGGAAAGACTTGTGGAGAAAGATCCAATGGAAAAAAAAAATTAATCAATTGAATGGAAGTAAAAGAATACAATGAATGATCAAACCTATTAAACTTATATTTTCCCTAAAAAATGAGAAACGTTTCCTTGCAAAAATTACAGCTTCAATCCATGAATAAATATTTTTATTTCATGTATTGATTTCTATCATGTTCTAACATATATCCAATTATATATATATACACACAAAAAATTGTATGTCATCTCAAGACGGATATGAAATAAGCAAGTGATTTGGTACACATGAAGAATTCTTCCATGCCTTAGCGTGCATTTTAAGAATTTCTTTTGCTCTCTCCCTTGTTTTTCTTCCACAATCAACTTGCAGCACCAGAGACAATTTTGTTACAACGCCAAGTTGCAGCATTTCTTGGAGAACACCGGGAGTGGCCGAGAATTTGGAGATCGAATAGAGAATTCGGACTGCCCTTTCGCTTGCAGCTTGTGAAATACGAAGAATTTTCTTGGATACAATGGCTAATCCTGCGCAGTGTTTCAAAAATTCAGCTCTTCCCTCGGCACATTGGCATAGGTAATCAAGAACCATTAAGATCATCTCGCAATCCCTTTTGTCCGATGAGTTGAGATTGAGAAGAAGATCGATTAGTAGAGGGACTGCACCGGCTTCTACAGCTTTGATCCTATTTCTTCCCCATGGACAGACATCGATTAGCACTTTGAGTGCGGCCTTTGAGGCCTTTTGCGATATTTGATCGTGCAGGATTTGAACGAGGCCGGTGAAGACTTCGTATCTTACACTGATCAGCTGCATCGTGTCATCAGCTACTTCGAACATGGATTTCAATAACATAACAACGTAAGCTCGAGATTCGTAGCTCCCACGTAGCATTATCCGTGTTAAGGATTTGACGAATTCGCCATTTCTGTAGCGCATAAGGGATTTAACGCCAGCTTCGGATAATTGTAAATGATGGAGAATGCTCAAGGCTTCATCATTTTTTCTTGTAGTCGTGTCATCAAACACACTGTCTTCTACTTCTCGTAATGATGATTCCCCGATTCTTTCCACAATTAACGACGCTAAAAACTCGGCTACACCAACTGATTCCATGCATCTTCGATTCGTTTCACTCTGGGAAGCAATGGATCTCAATCTTTGAAGGCACTTCGTTTGCTTATGTGGACTTTTGGCTTCATTCAGAAGCTTCACTATCTGTGGTTTTCCAACAGGAGGCTTCGGTGTAGGGAACCTCTCAATGCCGTCCGACGAGTGGAGGGTGCACCACGATTGAATCACTCGCCGGAGAGTGACATTCGGAGTCAATTCTGAATCTACAAGAATTTGTTTTGTTACTGGGCAGGTATCGTTTTTCTGGGAAAACAACCATTTTTCTATGCTTTCTCGATCATATGTTATGCCAGTTGAGACTGTTACAGGGTCTTTCATGATTTCAAGGGTAATGGGGCAGAGAAAATATGGTGGAACTTCAATTTCATTATCCATGCGAAAACTGTAAATGAAGATTAAGATTTAGTGAATCTGAGAAAGGATTGGAGATGGAGATGGAGATGATGAAGGAGATGGAACTGCTGAGGAGTTGTGGGTTAGTTTGTAGAGTAGCGAGGATTATATACACAGAGATTCAAAGTCAAAACGCGGAAGGGTGTGTGTGAGAGGAAATAACTAATTTCAGAAATTTGCAGATTGGTCCCCAATCTACTTTACAAGTAGTAAGTTGGTCTATAGAGTTTAAAATTTAGTAAATAAGCCTTCAGAGTCTATAGTGATTAGTATTATCAAAAAGGATTCTGGACAGAGCGGTCGATCCATCCTCATCACTTTTCTGCGATGCCAACATGCCACATGTTTGCACCTATATGTGGCCAGGCTTTTTACGTTGTGGCCTACTTAGGTCATGAGCTCCTCAACCAAATGGTTATCTCTAAACATGCCTAGAGGCTAGAAGTCATCGGATGAATTAGTGGCCAAAGTGTTGAACACAAACAAAAAGAACAATGATAGAGAAAACTTAAGAAACTATAAAATTGAAAACTTCAGCTCTCTCAAATTACCAATTTACTTATGATATAGTTACCATAACGTTTTGCTTTTTGATTGGAATTGGCATTTGAAAATTTCAAGCGAGACGTGCTTTTTCCAGGGACATGTAGCAATTTAATAATTTGATTGTTTTGTCCAATGATTGATCCAGCAACTATAATAAAATGTCGAAGATCAGCTTGCTCTTTTTCAAGAGTTGGGTGCCAAATTGTTATAGTGCAATTTTTCTTCATCTTTTCTCGGGGGGTGGTATGGGGGGGGGGGTAGGATACGAGGTTGGACTTGGACTTTTCTAAGATTGGAGTGACACGCCAACTCTAATGTGTGGGAGCGAAGTGTAAATAATAATTGTTTGACAGAGTGTTTTTTTTACTCTCTCTAGCGAATAAAAGATATAGAAATGAGTCGTCTCTTAAGAGTTAAGACTCGTTCTTAATTTTATGGTATGGCTGCCGACAACTATTCGTGGCTAATCATAGTCTTTATATACATGTGGTGATTTTATTTCCTGTTCCAGTCAACTCTTCTTTGATTTCAATTTTCTGAATTTAAATAAATCATAAAAGTGAGATTCATCAAATTATAATCAATTATAAGCATGGACTTAATGTAGATTTGTATTATTCTCCTTGATAATATTGAAATTATATATTAACATCTTCGAAATAAGAAAAATGATATTCATCCCCAGTGTATGTGAATGTAAATGATTGGTTAAATGATATGTGAGATTAAATAAGTAATTAAATGACTTATTTAATTTCACATATCATTTAATGCCACATAAACGACACATAGATCCTGTCTGGGATTGCTTAAAATCCCATTAAAACCCATTTCAGAACCGTTGAAGGCCATCAACGGTAACATTTCTGGGATTGCGGCTGTGAAGCTGTGAGAAACGGTAATATTGTAACGGCACAAAAATCAATTATCTTGGGGGGACAATCAGTCCCAGACAGGGCCCTGATCAGAGTAACTGCCAAATATCAAACCTATGTGTACTACCTCAAACATTTTTTTCACGTTGTCAAATTATCTTGGGGGGACAATCAGTCTCAGACAGGGTCATAGACTGGGGATGCATCTCCAGTGGGGATGAATAGCATTTCTCTCGAAATAATGTTTGGGCGAATAAGAAAATAAATCTCAAAGTACACCTATTGAAGTTGAGAAACGTTGGAAGGTAAAACTATAGAAACTTGGCCCACGTGAGAAAAATGATAATGCAAGCACTAATTTAAATATGGTCATTTGTGTTTAAAGGTATAATTATGTGTGATTTTTCTCATGCGCGCATGCAAAGTTGCAAATCATGAACAGGGTTAACATTTCTGACCATTGAATCCATGTACGAGTGAGTGCGACATATACACACGCACATCGAGCCGAAAATTCGGTCACTTAGTAGGGTCCAACTCCAACACCCGGTTCCATCATTGCCTCTATAATGTTAAGGGGCTAATTTACATAAGTCTTGTATTGCTAATTCTGTTTATGTTAATAATTTTTTTCTATTTATTTAATAAATGTATTATATACATATAATATATGTATTGTGAATAAGAGATTATACGTTATATTAGACATAATTTAATGATCTCTCTCTCTCTCTCTTTTTTTTTTTTTTCCCTTCTCTTCTTATTTGTTTTTTCCTCCTTAATGGTCTGAAAAACTCCAAAATTGAGAACGCAAGTGCTCACACATGAGCAGTAGAACTTTGGCGGTCACTAAAGTTTGAAAGAAAATGATCCAACTCGGCACCGCCGCGGGCCGCCGCAAAACATTATTCACTAGGAATTCTAGGATAACCCTACGTGTATCAAGCGCGTGATGGTTGATTGTGTTATAATTCAATTTTTGTCTTACAAATTATAAGTTATTTATATCATATAACCTTACATTTTTGGAAGCTTAACATTTGGCTATTAATTCACTTGTAATTTTTAAATTGTAGCCCTTATGTTTTTCGAATAAATACTTGCTTCAATTGCTCAATATGGTCTAAATGAATCATGGACCACCTATAGTCGGGCTCGGAAGTCGGCTTATTCTAGATGGACTACGAGCCTCCATAGTCATGCGAAGGCTTGGGCAAAAAAATCGAAAATTGACCAAACCAATCAAATCAAATCGGTTTGGGTCGGTTTGAAACAAGTACTTAGTTTGGTTTTTTTAAAACAAAATCATGGTGGGTCGGTTCATCCATAATTTGAAGCCTCGAACAGCTAGTTAATCGAACCGATCCAACTTACTTACATATTTACTTATTTTGTTTTTTTTCAAGAAAAATAAAAATAAAAAGATAAACCTTAATTTCATAATTATATCTCGATTCCCTCCAATTTATGATGTTGCTAGTAAATAATTGCATTGGAAATTTCCTTTCACACGCTCATTATTTTATACTTAGGCCCTGTTTGAGCCACATTATTTTTTTCATTCGCATTCTTCTACTCATTTTTAACCACCCATTCTTTAATTAAATAATATTTTTCATCTAATTTTTCCTTCTTTTTCAACCTCATATTCTCCATCACATCAATAGTAAAAATGCATTCTTTTTCTAAAAATGTGTAACAAACAGAAGCTTAGTATGTTTTCCTACTCAGGAATCATGCTACATAATGCATTAAAAAAAAAAAAAAAAAATTCTTAACTTTTTAGTTCATATATTTCTATGAACCTGATTTTATTCGTCAATCAATAGTTCTTGTAATATAAAGTTGTTTTTGTTCTTGTAATCTAAGTGAGCCCAAAATTCACAAAAAAAAAAATTCAATTTGGACTAAAAGTCTAAACTGACTAACCGAACCGAACAAAACCAAACCGATTTGGTTTGGGTCGGTTCTATTTAAAAGTTAGGGTGAATTGGTTTGGGTTAAAATTCACCCGAACCGACTAATTTGATTTTGGTTTCGGGTTGGAGTTGAAACCAATCCAAACCAAATCGCACCCGAAATTGAGAATGGGATGACCCATGACTGATGGTACGACCTATTCTGAAATGGGCCAAGACTAGAGGTGTCAAAAAGTCGAGTCGAGCCACGAATCGAAACTTAAAGCTCGGCTCGGTTCGAGCAAAAAATGGTTCGAGCTTTTAGTTCGGGCCTAAATTTTTTTTCCCATGACAAATCTAAATTTTTTTTTTTAAAGAATTTAAAATTTGTACAATTTATACGTACTATAAATTAAATAAAAGTTACAACCCTCCTTTATACAAACTTGGGACTGGCTACAATCATCGTAAGCGGAGTTAAAATTGTACACGAATAAAATATTTCGTATTCAAATTTTCTTAAAACAAAGAAATTTATAAGGGCAAAAATCAAAAACCCCTGAAAATGAACCATGTCGTTCCATATTCAAATCTACTACTACAAATTTATAATATTCCCGAGACAAAATTATAATCAAAAATATGGATCAGATGAAATTTCATTTGAAAAATATGCCAATTCTACTTATAAATGAATAAATATACAAATTGTAGACAAATAATATCGAAAGATATTATTTTTTAATAAAGCGTAACCTAACAATTATCAAAATAACAAAACGGTTGGCTTGGAACTTCATTTTACATGACGATTTCAACAACATTAATTTGTTGAAGAAAATTATTATTAATTAGGTAAACTGACGTATCATGTATAATAAATAATAACGATTTTTCTCCTATTTAATTAACAAATAAGAGGGGTGGGAAAAAAAAAAAAAAAGATACCACTGCATAGCAGTCAACTGTATGCTTATTTCTAAGTTTTGTCTCTTTGCGATAAGTATACATCATTAACTATGTATTTTGACTAGGAATTATTGAATATGTAATGAATTCAAAGCTGCCAGCAGGCAGCCGTCATAGCTGGTTGCAGGCGTTGCAGCTGCCTTGCAGGCAGCTATGTCTAATTTTATTTTTTCTAATGAAGCTCGGGTCGGGCTTTCCTGGGTCAAGCCACGGATAGTTTGAGTCGACGAGTCATTTTGACATCTCTAACCAAAACTATGCCAGGCTTTTGTCGAAAGGTGCCTGAGAAGTCCAATACAGTTGTGCACTTCATGTAACAGGCACACTTTATATACCCAACGGCTGATGAATCCCCATCTTGTCCAGGTTGCCCAAAGCCTTGGCATCAAATGGGCCAAAGCTATTGTTCATGGACCAGCCCCATGTCCTCCTCATATTTGGGTCCAGTAGATAAAAGACGGGTCCCAACTTCTTGGAAAGCCCTGCTATCTGGTTCTAGCTTACAAATTGCTATCAAAGTCCAAAGTCACAAAGATGGCTCAAAAATGTTAGAAGTGGACCGTAAAAATTGCTAAGATGGCTTGTCCTGATCGTTAAGAATTTAGTTGTTTGAATCTTCGATAAATGTAGCAGTGAATTAACTTATACTCCGAATTCGGGGGGTCAAAAAGTTTTATTAAACATTCTTGGTGAA